AGCTAGAAAAACCCAAGTTTTTCATCTGTTTCATTATATTTCAGGCTTCATCATCAAGACAAGCAGCACTTTGTCAGTATTGCACAGTGCTGTCTCAGAGGCTCTTTCTCTACATGGCAGAGCCACATGATGCCAGGGGGAGAGGGGCAGGACTCGGGAGGTGCCTGCAGCAGTTCCTTTTTCTCTTCACCATGTTGTGTTTTAAAAAGCTGGTTTCTTTTTTGTTGCAGTAGAAGGAGGAGATGGGCAAGGAAAAGGAGAAACAAGTGGTTAGGTAAGAGCTGCGGCAAAAGCAAGGAATGGCTCAGAATATACTCTGACTTGGTAGATAAGAAGAGAGACTCAACAGGCTTTGCTGTGTCCTGTTGATTCTGTCATAGAATGTCAGTGTTGGAAGAATGCCATTATGGGCCAAATCCTGTAGGTCTTTCCCATCTAGGTAGGTGATGAGTGGGAGTTTTGACTATTAGAGAATGTTGTGGGTTAGCAGCCCAGCAGCAGCTGCACTGCAGGGAAGTGAAAGGCAGTCCAGGGCTGGGCTTCCCCTGCTTCCTTTTCCCCAAGCCCACCTTTGAGTTGGCCATTCTAGTCAGCTAGGGGGCAGTGGGCAGCGGTGCATGTTGGGCAGGAGTGGGGTAGGGGCCAGCCTGGTCTTTGTGTCTCAGATCCTAATGAGGACAGTCAGTGTTTCTCTTCAGGCTGGGGCTGGCAAAGGCCTAGTTGTGTTCACAGGAAGGTTTTTGAATGTCAGTTACTAGTACTGTGTCTGTGGAGCTGCTGCCATTTTTTGCTGGAATTTATCAACAGAGGTGTTGCATTTATGTATTAGTATCAGCCCTATGCATGAATACATTGTTTTATGAAATCTTTTTTTTTTTCCTTAAAAATCTCTGTTGGGCTTAATTTACTAGAAGCTTTTGACAACCTTAAAGAGGATTATAAGGGGAAGGGCTCCCAAGCATCCTGCAGAGGATGTGAGTAACTCATCTTCAATACTCAGGGAGGAGGAAAGGAGGGGGGACCATGGCATAGCTGTTTGCTGTGAACATAGGGTGCCAGCCTCTTTGAAAATCATGCATTAAATATGAAAGGATACAAAATATGCAATGTAAAGAAAGGACATAAAAAGAATGTATTTTAGAAATTGTATGGCTCTGAAGTATTGTAAAAGCACTGACTTATGTTTAGTATTTCAGCCTTGAGAATTGGTGCTACAGAAGTTATGCTAACGGGAAGTCTAAGTGACTTCCAGAAAATAATTGATAAGACTTAAGCTGACGCCTGAAATACAAAACTGGGCCTCCTTTCTTTCTTTTCTTTCCCTCTCTCCCTTCCTGTTAAGAGTTTGTTTAGTGATTGAAAGACATGGAGTGGTGTTTAACTCAATGTTCTTTATTTCTGAGTTCCATGACTGACTGCAGCTGGAAATGGCTATGGAAGAATGGGTACCAATTAGCAGTAAGCAGCAGGCCTCGCCATGCTGTGCGGAGCTGTGCACAGCAGTCTGATCCTGGGTCTGCTCTGTTTTCACAGCGTCTCTGCTCCTGGAGAGGAACTTCCGCCCCTTTGTGGAACTGCCAGAGCAGCAACAGAAAGCTTTGCACAACCTCCTCCTGGTGGTCTTGTTTGATGAGGAACTCCTCATGGTCTTGGAGCAAGTGGTGAGACTGGACATCTCAAGGCAGGGTTTTATCTGTCTGTTCTGGAAATGTGCATGGGCTAGACTTGTTAGGCATTCTATCTTGAGATAGAATGAAATTGTGGTACGTTTCCCCACCTCCTTTTCAGCCTCCTAAACCTTTCTTAGTTTTATTAATAAGTCTTGAATATTTTAAAGGCAGACAGGCAGCTGATACCAGGCAGAGAGGGATATATGATTTTTTTAGGGCTGCCATGACAAATGACCAAATTTTGGGCTTAAAAAACCCAGAAATTTATTCTTTTACAGTCTGGAGGCCACAAGTCAGAAATCAAGGGGTTGGGAGGGCCCCCTGGAAGGTCCAGGGGAGAATCATTCCTTGTTTCCTATAGCTTCTGGTGGCTCCTAGCATTTTTTGGTTGGTGACCACATTGTTTCAGTTTGTGAAGGAACACCTTCACCTTCAGCTGTCCACCCTCCAAATGCCTAGACCTTTTGCACTTAAAAAGGTTGGAGCTAGGCTGGGGATGTGGTTCAGTGGTGGAGTGCTTGCCTGGCACGTGTGCCCCGGACTTGATTCCCCAGCACCATACACACACACACACACACACACACACACACACACACACACACACACACAGCTGTGGCTTTAGAAATCTTTTTATGTAGTGTCATTTTTATTGTCTTTTTTTTTCTCTTTCTGCAGGGAGTTGGAATTAACTGACTGAATGCTTTATGGTTCCAGCAAAGCATTCATGGTATTTTTCCTTCTTGAAATTAGATTGTGCTGAAAGAGTTTAGTTACCAATGAAATTGCTCAACCTCCCGGCAGGCACACCTTTGCATTCTGGAGGGTGCAGAGCTTAGCCCTGGGGAGAACACATATGTTTTTAAAAGCCTGTTGCTTTTTACTTCTTAAAATAGCTTCTTTCAAGAGGAAAATGTCAGGCTGGCCCCCTGTGGACAGAGGATCAGCTGTCTGTCAGATGCTGGAGAAGCCAGCCTGTGTAGGGGCAGCTCCTGCAGAACTGAGCCTGGACTTGGAGGCTGAGGGTGGAGAATGAGCTGGGTGGTCAGAATTGGCTTGCCTTACAGGGCCACCCTACCCCTGCCAGCTGCTGGGGCTGGCTGGAAACACACCAGGCTGAGAGGGCTACGTTTTTTTAGAGTTTGAATTACCAGAGGGAATGGTGCTTTTATGTTCCTCTTATCTGTTTTGTTTGTAATGACTTGTTTTTGGTCTCTGCTCTGAATCAATAAATCCTGTCCTGATCTAGAAGTTTCCAATAGTTCTCACATGTCTCCTGTAAAAGGATAGTAAATGGGTAAGGTTCAGCTTACTCCCTCTTTGAGGAATAACCCTATGGATGAGTAACTTCAAAATGTGGAAAGGGCTCAGCACCTTGCTTTACTGGGGAGAAGGTAGAGGGCATGCAGTATGTGCGTGAACCCCTGTGAGGGCACCCTCGCTCGGCCATGGCTTCACAGCATCCTCTTTTCTTCTACTCTTGCCCTGCAGTGTGACGACATGGCTGGTGGTGTCTGCTCCCTGCAGGCAGCACAGGCAATGGCGGAGCTGAAGCCCCCTCAGCAGCAGGACCTCACAGCCTTCCTGCGGCTGGTGGGGTGCAGGATACAGGGCGAGCATCCTGGCCCTGAGGATAAGGTCAGCAATCAGAAGCTCTTTGCCACAGCCTACTTCTTGGTCAGTGCACTGGCAGGTATGGAAATGGACAAAAAAAAGTAAGAGAAATGGCTGCTTTGAAATGGTTGCTTTGAAACTGTGTTGCTTACTGTACATGCTTCGGGGCACATGGAATGGTGACTGGAAGGTTTGGTACAGACAGATCCCTCTTCTCCAGTACAGGGTCGGTAAGAAGTGGAAGGTGGGTAGAGAGGCTTGGCCAGCATGAGGCTGGCCTTTCTGTCCACCTGGAGCCTCTTCCACTCTTGGAAGGCTTCTCTTCCCTCCCTGAGCCAGTGCTTTCCTCCGTCTCTGGAAATCATCTTCCATAATACCACCTGTGACAGGAACCAGAGTGGGAGTGCTGTGGTGCAGACACTTTCATTTGCACCTGCTCCTCCCTTTTCCCTTGGCAAACTTAATTGCTGCTCCATGACAGTTCCAGGCTGTAGAAATTCTGTGTCCCTGTGCACCAGGCTAGGGGCAGGGCTTGTTGGGAATAGTAGCCCCTGCCTGCTCCACCTCTTTGCCTCCGCCATCAAATCTTACCAGGCCAGGAGCCTGCGGTCATCCTTTGTGAAGAAGCTGGGTTTTCAGTTCCCTCTTTGGCAAGACAGGACTAACCAGCACTACTGATTTTTGTTCAAGAGCTGCTAGTTAGAGCACTGATGCATTCAGGGTTCCTTCCCAGCACTGCACAAAAATGGAGGCTCAGGAATCTTAAGTTTACAAAAACAATTATCAGAGAGGATGTCTCCCAGCTCTATATGCCGATGAATGTATGCTCTGTCTTATTGAGAGTATGGAAAAAAGTTTTAATTGGTTGACTAAGACAGGACAAGACAGAGAGTCCTGTGGATCTCCACTAGAGACTTTGGTTCAATATTAACACTATTGTATTAGAATCTTTGATTATAGACATTCTATCAGGTCCTGATCCACAGGCCAGAGTTCTTCAGCTTGTGAGAGGACTTTTCATCACATACCCTGTTACTTCTTGAAACATCTATTTATAGGCTGCCAAATATGTAGCAGGTGTATTTATAGTGATGTCAAATATGTAGCACATGGCTGACAGGGAGAATGTACCAGTTCCCCTTTTTTTCCTGATCCTAGACCTTCTCTGCAGCATGAGATACTTGCTGTTTTTGAGCTGGAAGCTCAGAGACAGTGAAATCTTTCAGTGCAGCAAGTTTCTAAACCAGTGCTTCCCTGCTGCCCTTTTCCATCTCTCTGGACTGGGATCTCACTTCCTGGCCTGTCACAGCAGAGGGCAGGCTAGTTTAAAGCTCTTTTGCAAACCCCGGGTCCTTCTGAGTTGACCTTCTTTTCTAGACAACATGGTCTTCTAAGAATAGGGATGCTGCTGGAGCAGAAAATGGGCTCCTCTTTGAGTCCTAAAACCTATTTTTGCTTTTTAGTACCCTTAGCTTTTATCAGTGCTTCAGTCCCACAATCTGACCTTTCTCCTGGAAAGCTTCCTCCATACTTGTGACCATAAACAAGTCCCATGCTCTGGACTCTTAAGACCTCATTTGTAAAACTGAATTGGTACATGAAAGAGCAGTCAACATAATTCACTCAAGTTCAAGACACACTGGGGGGGCTTATATTACATTTTAGGCACCCCCAGGTGTGGAGGAAGGAGAACATATCTAGTACAGGACATCATAGTTGAGTGGCAGCAGAAAGCTCTATAATGCAGGTGCTGTTCTCTCATTCTGTGCCCTGGCACCTAATCCATATTATTCTGAGTAATATGGTACAAAAATGTTTCCAAGAATAAGCGGTGAAGATAATGATTACATGGTGCTCAGGCACCACCTGGCAATTAAGGGAAACATGGTCAGATGACATGGCTATGATAGGGGCTCATCTGCTGTGATCTTTCTACTACGCTGTATGTGTGTTCCATCTTCATCTTCTTGGTTTGGAGCAAGAGATTCCATGAGAATGTGGGGGAAGTTGTCCATTTAGAACCATCCATTCAATCAACAATGACAGAGTATCACCCACCCCTGCCTGGCTGGTGGGAAAGTACACCAGTACCACCCAGGGACTGGCTGTTTCCATGAATGAATTTTGGACAGTGACTTTTTTTTTCCTTCCTCCTTTAGAAATGCCAGATAATGCTGTATCTCTACTGGGCACTTGCTGGAACCTGAAGATTATTCCTGCACTGTGCTACTTGGTAAGGAACTTCCCAGATTGGATCTTAGGATAGATGGGAATGGGGAACTAAAGTTGGGGTAGACTCCTAGCAACTGATAAACACATATAGCTCTCAGGCTAGTTTAAGCAGGTATTGTCAGTAAACTCAATTTTATATATAATGTACATGCCCATCTCATGGGAAAACATTGCCCCCACCATTTTTTAAACTGGTATGTTGTTTGGTCATAGAAACTGTCATCATTTTAATTGTATGTAATGATTAGAAAAATAGCAGCTGTGTTCTTTTGCAGCAACTGTTAGCTCTGCACTTACCAAGTTAGCTTTCCCCAAGAATTTAAACTAATTAATTACATTCAGGAAGTATATACAAAAGAAAATCCTGTTAATTCTTCCCCCAACAAACTCATACTTCATAGTCCCCTTCCTTGTGCATTAGTTCCAGATTTTTATCTTTGTGTTGCCCTCTTGTACTAGGAGAGGCTGGTAGAGCACACTTAAGAGTTGCACAATGAATGGCATTCTGTTTAACATTGTTTGCCTTTTGAAGGTTGCTCAACAAAGACATACACAAAAAGTCATTTTTTTGAAAGAGACCTTC